CTGAAACGACACAGGGCCTGTAGGCCCTTGTTTTCAGGCTTTTGGGCTGAAAACGACACGGGCCTGAAAATGGCCCGTGCAGCCTGTTGCAGGCGCAGCATGTGACACCCTGGTCGCTGCTTGCCATCAGGTCCACGTCACTTCTTGGATCCCCTTACACTTGACTTCGCTGTTGTACTCCCGATACAGTCAAAAACATGCTCACCCCTTCTGGTTAATTTAACTCCAGAAGTGTTCACACAGGCTTTACTAGTTGATAGATTAGTCGCATACACGTCACACATGAGATATACACACGTTGACAAAGTACGTATGAATCGTCAATGAAGTGCAAAAAACACAGGTATCGTATCCCCGACGCCGCGTTTCGACGGCTGCCATGCCGTCCGCCTCAGGGGGTTCCGCCGGCCTTCGACCTTTGACGTTCATCACACCACAAACCCACTCCTGTTCCTGTTTTCGCGGACACATCCGGATGCGCCGGTAATCAGGATACGGTCGACCTGTGTGAGGGCGAAACTCTATGTACTTGCTTCCCAAATACTGCCTGCTATTCAGAGATCAAGTGTCCGTGTAGGAGCACACAAAAAAAGTGCCAAGCCTTTCCCGGCACCGGGTCCGAGTTTCCACGGGTTCCGGTTCCGTCCCAGTCAGATGGTACCCGTAAAACCCTGGAATGGCCCCGATGCTCCAAAAAAAATTCTGTAAAGGTTTGTGAAGGGGCGATGGACCCGGTTCCCAGCACGTGCTTCCCACAGATAGATTGGAGCATGTTCTCAGTCGTTGTTCTCAGCGGCCTGAAACCCCAGGAAGACCCCGAGGTTATAGTTCCGTCCATTCTCAGTTGGCCGCTCTGAGGGAATCTGTTGCCTGTCTCGGTTGCACAGTGGTGATGGCTCTCACAGGCCTGTGTATGTTGTTCTATTCGTTGTTTCCTTTTGGTGGAGGTTACCCTGACTGCCGCTCCCCAGAACGGAAAAAGCAGTGGCAGCATGTCTTGCAGCCTTAAACCGCCAGTACTTCTGAAGAGTTCGCCCATGCACGCACCGGCTACATTGCCGCAACTGTTTGTTTCACATGAATTCATCAATGCGCGGCGGGCCAGTTCATACCAGCCAGTCTTGGCGCGTGCATGCCACACTTTCAGGCAGTACTGGGGGTTTAATGGCGGGAGGAGTGTGAGGGAGTAAGTGACTGAAAATCCTTTGGAGTTTGGAGTAAATCACTGTGCTGTAGTTTTGTTCAGTCATTTATACAAATACGTTTGTTTTTTCGTCAAATGGGTTTAGTATCCTTTTCCCCCCCTCCAAATGGGTGTGGTATCTGTTGTGTATTGAGCTTCACAAGCTGAATCACAATGTGATTTAACCTTATGTTACCAGCTGTCCGATCGCCAGACACTTGGGCGAGACAATTTGATCGGACATCTGGCACCCCAGTTGTCTGGGATCTTGGACAACCGATTTTCAGCCAATCAGGGGGTCCCATATGTTCGCTGACAGGCGGTCCTGCCCGTGCTCACAATTGCCCCCCCCTGGATAAACCTGGGCCGATTTAGAGGGCATATAAAAGGGCTGCAGCAGCAGCAGCAGTGTTTGCAGCAACGGCTGCTGCACCGGTTGCTGCAAACACTGCTACGGTAGCAGTTGCAGCGGAGGCTGCAATCAGTGCCAATCACTGCTGCAGCACTGGTTGCAGCAGCGGTGGCAGAAGGGCGTGCAGCACTGGTTGCAGCATGCACTGATGCAGCATGCACTGATGCAGCAGAGGTTGCAGGAGTACCTGCAGCAGCTGGGGGAGGAGGAGGAGGAGGAGGACAGAAGAAAAAAAAGACGAAGAGGAGGACGAGGAAGAAGAGAGGCGGGGCAGCAATGGACAAGGAGAAACTTTAAGAATATGAAGAGAAAGAGGAGGACAGGGAGGAGTTGAAAGAGGTGGAAGATGATATGTGGGCGAGAGGGGGTGAGAAACAACACAATCACAAGCTGATAACACGACAATGATTGAAGTCCAATAGAAAGACAATGGTCAGACATAACATGCCGAGAAGTGGTTTAACCCAAGAGAACCGCGGAAACGGTCTCGAGAATTACCACCTTCTCCCACCTTCTTCGCCCCTAGACTTACTCCTTCGTTCCACTAGTCCTAGCCGGAGTTATCCCCGACGCCATGTCGATGAAAGAGGACGAGTATAACAATCAGAAAACTATTAATAGTCAAGCTATCTCAACTTCCTACAAACCTACGAGTAATGCTGCAGTGAATTTCCACATATCGTCATGTGTCCTAGCAAAAATTCCCAGTACCGTCCCGAAGAAATGGTCCGGGAACTTTTTGGCCCGGTACTCCTTTCGCAATGTCAAGACTTGTCGAGGGATACTGGTCCTGACCGTGGTGTTGCGGTCAATTCGGTTCAACCATCCGGTAATCAAGGCCGCCTTCTGTCTTTCTGCTGGACCAGGAGTTGAAGTCCTGTCCAGATTTGAACACCACTTTGCCGGAGGTCCACATTGTTTCCTCGGTTTTGGTACGCTGAATGCTACCCAAATAGGGCTAATCTTTTTTCACCTCCATTTTGCAGCCCAAGAAGTCCCAGGACCCAGTTTTTTCGTCCGTTCGTTTCAGGGTTAGTGCCTTGGGATAACAGCGTTCAAATTTCCTCCGAATTTTGTTAGCTCTCTGATAGGCCAGGAATAAAGACACATCATCCATCAGTCTAACACCAAACACTAGTCTACGATCCTTTCCCAAAGTAACGAGAAACCGCCACTCTGCATGTGCACACATAATACATGGAAAGACGGGTGGAGATTCTGGAGAAGAAGGGGAGGAAAAGATGGAGGAGGAGGTCGAGGGGGGGAGTAGGAGGATATGACAAAAAAAAAAAAGACAAAGAGGAGGAGGAGGAGGCGGTGATTGAGGATAAAAACGAAGAGGCAGAGAGGGAGGAGGACGGGGAGGAGGACCAGGAGAAAGAAGACGCATGGAGGAGTAGAGAGGAGCAGGAGGAGGGGACGCAGAGGAGGATGGAGGAGGACATGGTTGACGGGGAGGCAGAAAAGCGACAAGGAGGGGGAGGAAGAAGACGTAGAGGAGGAGGGCGAGGAGAAGCAGGGGGACGAGGAGGAGGAGGAAGTAGAGGAGAAGGGGGTGGACTAGGAGAAAGAGGGAGAGGAAGCAGACGAAGAGGAGGAGAAGGAGGAAAAGGAGGAGGACATGTTTTAGAAAGAGGAGAAGGAGGAGTGTTTTAGGAAGAGGAGAAGGAGGAGGAGGGGGATGACGACTACAAAGAGGAGGTGAAGGAGGAGGAGGAAGATGAGGACGAGAGGAGGAGGAGGACAGGAAGGAAGAAAACGACAAGAGGAGTACAAGAAGGATGAGGAGGAAAAGGCAGAGGCGAAGGAGGAGGAGAGAGCAGGAGGAGGAGGAGGAGGAGGAGGCGGAGGAGGAGGTGGAGAACAGGAGGATGAGGGAGACAATAACCTACCTGGGTAGCTGGCAAGGGCGGCATGGGAGGTGCGGCCCCTGGCATCGACATTCGGCAATGCCGAACTCGAACGTCCACGCCAAAGTCGCACATGGGACAGAGGGCTACCTGTGCACAATTTCCAAATTGGGGAAACTACGCAGGAGTCACAAAAACGAGTTATAATTACACTATGGGCCAAGATACAGTTTCGAATTGCAGTTCAGGCAATGTATACAACCCAGCTTTCTGGCCAGGTAGAGTGCCCGAAGTGCAATTGCAAACTGTATCTTGCCCCATAGTGCAACTATAACTCATTTTTGTGACTCTACTGAAGTTACCCCTTCAAAAGATTAAAAAAGTCCCAATCTGGGCTGTCAATCTTCTTTTTTTTTTGAAAACGAGCTCCATCTATTGGTGGGGAGCAGCACCTGCTGGAAACCGGGTCCAGCGTCCCATAGATACAACCATATCCTCACAAAGTGGCACAAACTGGGAACCGGGCCCAGCGTCCCATATGTCAATCTTCAAGATTTGACGGCTCAGATTGGGCTTTTTTGGTTTCATTGTTTGAGGCCCTACCGGCCTCTGAAAACAAATTCCCAAGGCCTCCCCTGGAGGCAGCCCTCCTCGTCCTCACCCACAAGACCCCAAAAGGACCAAAACCGAGTCCCCATATTTTTTCAAAGAGGTCAGACAGTGTGAGACCTAGAAGAGATCGGCAGGGAGTACGAAAGTTTTGGAGAACGTTGGAAGGGTTTGTGTGGGATCTCGGGGTCTTTGGAATAATCGTAGGACCTCTGTGGCCTATTCTCATACTTCTGGAACGACGGTAAGAGTTCTTAGGTCATTCAAAAAGAAGGAAAGGTGAGTGGGAGAGGATGGTTGGTTACCACGCGTTCTACCAGTGAGGGGGCTAGCTGGTAGGACGGAAGTAGCAGCAGCAGAGATGGTGGCTCCGCTGCAGTCAGTCTTGCCGGAGTGAGGTATAGTGGATTGATGGGGGGGTTTCTGTGTCGTTTCTGGATTTTGCTTAATCATGAAGATTGTCCTAGACATGTCTGCAGTAGCTTCAATTTTTCGAGCCAAATTAGATTCTTCTAGTAAAATTCCTTGTCTCATTTTCATGAATTTTCTGTTGGAGTTTTCTGAGCATACTCGTTATGGGACGCTGGGCCTGGTTCCCAGTTTGTGCCAATTTGTGAGGATATGGTTGTATCTATGGGAAAAAAAAAAAGAAAGGTACCAGGCAACGTCTGGGCCGGTTGTCCGATCAGCGATCCCAGACACTCGAACAGCTCCCGGACATCTGCCCTGGTAACCCTTTTTTTTCACAAAAAGACCAGACTAAATCTACTTTATTTTTTTTTCTTATAAAGTCCAGGGTGTTTTAGAGGCCAGTCACTGACTGCAGAGAGATTACCTGGAGCTGTTAGACGCCGGTGTCCTGGAATATGAGACCACCTCCCATCCCATCTTCATGTCAATAGTCCTAGCGCACCCCCTGTCCTACTATCCTGCCTCAGTGTGACCAGCACTCAGGACCATTGCCCTACCAATGGGCAGGCAACTTGGACCGAACAGCAGTGATAGGTACCAGGGCTGATAGGTTGCCCAGCCCTGGTGGAAGCGGAATCGGACGAGCCTTGTCAAATGGGAACTTCGGACGCCAGGCCCAGACAATCTACTACAGGCCCCAAGAGAGATGGACCCTAGGTTAAGACAGGCACCCACTGAAGCAGTCTTACCGTCCTTCCCCTAGCTTACCCAAGGCCAGGCGGAACTTGGACTGGCCTGAGCGACTTAGATCCCTACCCTTACCCTAGGGTCTAAGGCTTATATATAGCCACCAGACAGTTCTATCCGAATGTCAGTAGGAACCCCTTACCTGAACCTACTGCAGATACTAGACCCCACCCAGTGACTAGACCCCCCCAGCCTGATGTTATAGTTGTATGTATGTACTCACCCGGAAACTTGTGTATGTAGCCCCTAGGCGATGTGTAGTTCGCAAGCTATATGTATACCCGAAGGCTGTGTATGCTCTGTGAATCTATGTATCGAGATGTACGGACAGCATCATGTGTGGAAACTTGTGTATACAGTCCGTAGGCGATATGTAGTTCGCAAGCTATGTGTATGCCCGAAGGCTGTGTGTGCTCTGTGAATCTATATATCGAGATGTACAGACAGCATCATGTGTGTATATCGAGGAGAGAATGGGGCAAGCTGGACAAGGAACCCCCCCAAGGTCCGAACCAAGCTCGAACCCGTGACCTTGTAACATGTAATCAAAGACTCTACCGTATGAACAACTATCGGAAATGGCACGAACGTGTGATATGCTAGACTGGTACAAGCAGTTAACAGGGACCCCCACTTTTCAGCCTTGGTTAACCCCTTCAACCCTGAAAAGTGCCTTGGAGATCATTTTTTTCAGTTTTTTCTGTTTTTTCAGGATTTTTCAGGGCTAGCCAAAACAGTCTTGGCACACACCTGAAAAGTGCATTGGGGTCTTGGTTAACTCCAAGATCCCAACAAACACCAAACTTGGCACACATAGAGCTTGACCAAAAATAAAACAGGGCAAAAGAAAAAAAAACAGAAAAATCTAAAAAAAATTGCAGTAACCCACACTCTGCAGAGGCCAGGCTGTGTGACCACGCACTGCCCGGCCCAGCCCAGCGTCTGGCCAGTGAGACCCAGCGCTGGACTGGGGAAATTCAAAGGTCAAAGTCAACTGTCGGGTCGCAGGTACCGTACCCAAGTCCACGAACAGATACACACGTGTTGTATGCAGGTACCGGGCCAAGACATCAGACCAAGGGAGAAACAGTTGCAGACCGATCCAGGCCGTCGCCGCATCAAGATCTTGACGG